TCTCCTAACTCAAGTCCCCGAACTTTAACCCAATCCCCAAATCCTAATTCTCAATTCCTAATCCTAACTTCATCTCCCCTCAATCATCCTCCCTCCCTCAAATCTAAGGAAAATAAAAAGCCCTCATCCTCCCCTGAACCATCCTAACCTCACCTCCTCTCAATCTTCCCTCCTTCCCCCCTTCGATCCAAGGAAAAAAATCCTCGAAATCCTAGACAAGGAGTAAAAGAACAATAAATCAGGCTCCATATAACTCCCTTCGGTGAGGACAACACTCGTCAGTTGAAGAGGACAACGGTTTGGGGGACAAATGTTAAAACATGATAATTTTCAGGTCTAATATCAAAACTCGATAGATTTGGGGGACTAAAATTGAAAAACTCTTTATGTTTTATAATTAATTGGACCCACTTGCTTTGTACATCTTTGGGTGAGGGTATTTTTATCATTTCATGTGTTTTTAGGCTGAAAATTCAAATAGGCGTGACATTGCAAAGATGTTAGCAAGTAAAGATGGTATTGACAAACTAAAAAGATAAAAATAAAAGCAACATTAATAAGGGCATCAAGTATCAAATTTGATAAAAGTAAAGGTGACTTTCATGTATAAACCTTATATATATAAAATGTCTCTTTCACTTTGTCAAAACGATGATGACGAGCTCCCACATGTTGAACTCTCCTTTTTTTTTTTTTCCCAAACACAAAACTCTACTAAAATTAGACCAGGTTCGAATCTAGCCCGGTTTTAATAGTGAGCACGTAAGAACGTGGCATCACTGATTGTGGTCAGAGTCTGAGCCCCTTTCCTTACTCTCTATAGAAAGGAATACGACAGAGACAGCCATTTCTCGCTGCTCCTACTTAAAAAAATAAGGTAGGCGAGCGAGAGTGAGGGATCAGGCGGAGGTCTCGTTTCAGAACCCGACATAAGGGCGTAGAGTACGCTTTAAAAAATAAAATAAAACAACGGCGACAAAGACAAGCTTGGCTTTGTTAACGCAGCCAAGGTCGAATATACAATGCGTATGGGGGAATTGTTAGCATTACGAATGAGGCTCTACGTAGTCCACACACTTGGCTTGCAAGATTAAGCCAAGGGTATCTGTATTTGTAACGCACAAGTTAATTTCCCAATTTGGCTAAATTTGTTTTTTTTGTAGTGGAGAGGATCCGAATCCATTTCAAGGGATTTTGGATCCTCTCCACTACAAAAAAGTAGTGGAGAGATCACTGCTTTTAATCTCAATCGTTGATTATTTGGTAGACGGTTATGATACAATCTAAATCTAACACTTACCATACCCCCGTGTATTGCACTCATTCCTAATTTACACTAAAAGAAAAAATCACAACCATTAATTAGATAATCAATGGCCGTGATTATGTAGTGGTCTCTCTACTGTTTTTTTTTGTAGTGGAGAGGATCCGAATCCAATTTCAAGCGCGTGAGCCTACGTCGAGTGTGAAGTTACCAACTTTTGCCCTACCACCCAAGATTGGACATCTCATGTAAAATTTGCCCATACGTGTTGCCCTCCATTCCCCTCCCTTTTCTTTTGTTTGTCCTCCCTTTTTAATTTGAAAAAGACGTGCACATGCAAAGCACTACTGTCAAGAAAATAGGTTAAAATTTCCAAATGAAGTGTACACGTACCTGATGTATAGTGTAATTGCACAGACTGATTCTGGAGTGTGCGTATCTACACCGGTAATCATAACGTTACCGATTATATTTGTACGAGTAGCCTCGAGAAGGAAAAACTGAACATACTCTAAGGGGGTGTTTGTTTCACCAAAATTTTTGGCATTTGGTATGGATTATAAGTTTTTGGATCAAAAAGTGAGTTTTTTTTTTGTATTTTGGGATTCAGTATATGGTGTTTGTTTTAAGAAAATTGTTAGAATATTGAATCCCCAAAATGCAAAAAGATGCCCAATTTTTAGAATTTGCCAAATCCTCTCAATTGGAGAGGATTTTAACAAATCTCATAAATGTGTGTGCTTACCTCTAAATTGGAGAGGATTTGACAAATCCTAATTTTGTCTTTTTGTGGGAGGTAACCTCACCAAGATAGCATATTCATCATATTATAAAATTTTGGCATTTGGTAATGCTATAATTTGAGCTTGAAACAAACAAAATATTACAAATTGTAGTATTCCAAATCCCAAAATATTAATGAAACAAATAACATTTTAGAAATCTCAACCCATAACAAAACACCTATGGATTTCAAATCCCATGGTGAAATACATATCCTAAAATTATAGGATTTGAAACAAATACCCCCTAAGATTATCCTTACGGTTACAATCACTAATCTCAAAATTATTTATATGGGCAAAAACTCAAAGTTCTTCAGTGTAATTAAACTGTACTTTAGAGTCATCATTAAAAACAGTTACATTCACTAAGGGGTTGTTTGGTTGGTTTCCTAAAAATCAAGAAAACGAAAAAGGGTATATGAAAATCAATAAAATATTATTTTCATCTATTTCCATCCCTAAAACTCACCACAATATCCAATAAAATATTATTTTCATCCGACAACTCATCTTATATCATCTCCTAAAAATAACCAAACACAAGAAATGAGTCACATCCTCCAACTCATTTCATCTCCATCCTATTTCATCTTTAAAAATCACCCACATCATCCAATAATATGGTGACAACTCATCTCATCTCATTAACATTTCATTAAAAATCACCCACATCATCCAATAATATGGTGACAACTCATCTCATCTCATTAACATTTCATTTCCACCCATTTCCTACAAGAAATGGGTCACATCATCCATCTCATCCCATATCATCTCATCTTTAAAAATCACCCACATCATCCAATAATATGGTGACAACTCATCTCATCTCATTAACATTTCATTTCCACCCATTTCCTCAAAAAACCCAAGGAAATCGATTTCCTTAAGTGAGGGTCACATCATCCAATAATATAATGACAACTCAACTCGCCTTATCTCATCTATTTTCTTATTTTTAAAAATGAACCAAACACGAGAAAATAACCTATTACAGGAAATATGTTTCTTATAATTCATCTACTTATTTTTTTTAGCCAACCAAACAACCTCAAAACAAGTTTTCTTAAAAAATCACCCAAATCATCCAATAATAATGTGACAACTCATCTCATCTCATCTCCCGTTTTTTGATTTCCTTCTTTTTTTAGCCAACAAAACAATATCAAAACAATTTTTCTTAGAAATAAGTTTCCTATTCTTTAATTTCTCTCTTTCTTTGGGCAAACAAACAGCCCCTAACCTGAGAGTTATCCGTGCAGACACGCTTGGCTCCAGGATCCTGGCTTTAGGGGGACGAATTTTCAAAACCAACCTATTTCTAAATTTAATAAAAAAAAAACCCAATTTGAAGTTAATTGCAAAAACCAACCTGGTTTCAGCTTTGGCGTTGAAACCATGTCGGTTTTTTAAAAATTTTCTCCGAAACTTCACGGGAGTTGGAACTCCCGTGAAGTTTCAAAAGTTTTTTTCACAAAAACCGACCTGGTTTCAACGCCAAGACTGAAACCAGGTCGGTTTTTACAATTAACTTCAAAATGGGTCTTTTTTGGGATTAAATATGGAAATAGGGTGGTTTTGAAAATTCGTCCGGCTTTAGGATGCTTTAACGCCCGATCACTTTAAGATTTATGTGAGCACCCAACGATTTCATTTGATTTTTTTTATGAGTAGTGCTACAGGGACCCCAAATAGAGGACCCCTGAGGGGACAGGTGAGGTGTCAGCCCCTGGGGGGCTGACACCTCACCTGTCCCCTCACGGGGTTCCCCTATTTGGGGTCCTGAGAGTGTTTCCTTTTTTTTATTTCCTATATTACGAAAAAAGAATAATATATTGGGCAGAGACAATTGCGCGGGTCACGGGCGCTATGGCAGATCCTCTCCCGTGTATCAAAATGTGACAACGCTTTATACGTAGGCACTTTCTATCGATCACAACGCCACCCTCCATCTGCTTGTCCGGAGGCCTAACCTGTTCGCCTGAGTAAGAATACCAGGACCCCCCCCCCCCCCCCCCCCCCCCCGTTCTCTCGTTGCAAGCCCCGCACTCCGTCGTCTTTTTTATAAATAAATAGAATAAAACAGAAGTAAGAAATAAACAATAAACCCAAATAAATAAATTGAGTGAAGAGAGTTCACTGAGCTCTCTTAAGCTTAAAAAAAAAAAATCTCCATGGATTCTCTCTTTCTTCGTCCGGTCTCTTCCCCTTATCGCCTCTGCTCAAGGCCTTCTCTACGAAGAGGTAACTTTTTTTTTTGTTTTTGAATTGGATTATCTTGTAATTTGGAGTAATGGGTAGTCACTAATTTTAGTGGGATTAGTGTTATGATAAAAAAATTGAGATTTTTCTCATCAGATTTTGGGGTTTTAGTACCTGGGCTTGCCTTCATTGTGGGGTTTAGTTATCTAGCTTCTTTTGCCTCGTTTAATTTAACGCTGAGAATGTCTTTAGTTGAAAGAGGTTAATTGGAGATGCATGCATCAGGTTGTCTCCTACATTTATTTCCTTTGCTCTCTAAAATGGGACTGTTCTTCTTTATTAGAGAGTCGGTTGAGAGCTCAGTAGAATTAGGGGCTGTTTGGTTCGTTTTCCATATATTGGGAAATACAAGTCCATGTAAAGAAACCCAAGTTTTGAGTTTTCTAAACTTTTCTAAAAAATAGATTGTTTGGGTTTGGTTCACACATAAAATATGGTGAGAAACCAATGTATGCACTTTTCTTATGTTTCATTGGAATGAACAAAAGAAATTTTTTGTTGATTAGACATTTTCCACTTTTCTTGTGTTTGGTTGGTATTGACGTGTGTAGG